TTCCTTCTCTCCTCCCTCCCTCCCTCCTCTCTCTCTCTCTCTCTCTCTCCCCCTCCCTCCCTCCCGAGATCTTTCGAATAATTTACTTTGCGCGATATACACAGACGCGACGCGGGGCCACTTTGCCCTCGGCCTCCCTTTCCCCTCTCGTTCCTTGCCGCGATATCCAACGCGACGCCTCCCCCTCCCCTTTCTCTTTCCTCTTTTTTTCTTCTTTTTTTCCCCCTCCCCCTCCCCCTTTCTTTCTTTTTGTTTGGGTAATCGAGGATCGAAGTCAGCCGGGCGGAAGATCAGAAAAATTGAGTGGATCCTAATACGGGAACGCGATTATCCGAATTAGCGGCTTGCCACCGGGTCCTCGCCCTCTTTTCATCGCGGTCGCGCCGCTCCCTCCTTCTTCCCCGATGAAAGAAGGGTGGGGATCGCCCCGAGCGAGGCCTCGCCGCCGCTTTTCTTAAATTTCGCTCGATACCCATTGTTGGCCCGCGCCTTATTTTCCCCCCGCCCCACGCGGGAGAAGGGAATGTTATCTTACCCGCGCTCATCCCCCCTCGTTCTTGGAATCCAACCCCCCCTCACGGATTCTCGACCGCGAAGACGAAGTCGGGAGAGCGGGATTCTCGAGAACGGAGAAGAGGAAGATCGGCGTGTCCAACAACTGACCTTGGTAGTTCTGCCAGAAGGCGGATGCTTGGCTCCCGATCAGGTCCAACCCGTATCCCCATGCCGGTTTCTCGGGGGTGGAGGGTTGTTGGGAGGGGCGCGGCACCTGGGCCTCCCTGTACTGCTGGGCCTGTTGCTGCTGCTGTTGAAGGGGTTGCTGGGACGACTGTTGCTGCGAAGGCTGTTGCTGCGACTGCGAGTGCACCGGGCTCGCCTCCGGTGGCTCCGAGCTCGTGCGCGCCTCCACCGTCACGTTTTCTAAACCAGATCCAGCCGGGTTTAGAGAAGGAAGGTAAGGCGAAACGAAAAGAGAAGAGAAGAAAGAGAAAAAAATCGAATCAGGTTTCGCGGCAAAATGCAGCATATGTATAATGTATAAGCGTAGGGTGAGTGAGGCACGCTCGGTGCGAGAAGGGCAGCGGGTAACGCCTCGCGGAATTCGCTTCGAAGCGAGGCGAATTCGCGTGCGCTCCGTTTCATTTGAAATTAGTATCGCTACTCTTACAAACCTGCGTCTGACAGGGTTAATCAGCGGCGACGGGGGTAGCGGAGTGGGCGGGGGAGGGGGAGGGGGAGGGGGAGGGGGAGCAACCGTTGCGACGCGAGTCCCAACAGGATTCCCGCGGCTCGCGTTTCTATATCGGAATAAGATATTTCACTTAAAGGGTTTCAACCTCGAGTTTTGTTAGTGACAGGAGAAGGAAGGGGTAGGGGCAGCAGAGGGTGCAGCTTCGCGCTGCCTTCTCCTCCTCCGCCTTTTCCCCCCCCCCCCTACCTCCCCTCCTTCCTCCCTGCCGTCTCGTAAGGAGAATCGTGGCGAGGTTAAGGAAACGGGAAAGAGAGGAGCGTAAGGAGAAGATTTCGAAACGAAAACGGTGGGGGAGGAGGGGGTCGTAAAGATCCTTCCCCCTCCGTCGATAAGGGGATAAGTAAGGAATCGTATTCCGGCCGGGTGTCAGCCTGTTTGCTCTGGCCCCGGCTCGTATTAATTAAATTATTCCCGAGATCGCCCCCCCCCCCTCAAGGGGGCTCGGCCTTCGAGGAATCACCTCGAAAATCCTGGATGACGGAGCAGGAGGAGGAGGAGGAGGAGGAGGAGGGGAGAGAAAGAACGAGAGAGAATTCTCTCTCTCTCTCACTCCTTTCCCCTCTTCCTCCTCCTCCTCCTCTCTTTCTCCGTTTCCTCGAGGATATCGCGATATCTCGATAATCGGGGAGCACAAGCACGTGCGCGAAGTCGCCTCCTTTCCCGCTCCATTTTCACTCCGGAACCGATACTTACCGGTAATCGCTCTGACTTGCTCGGAGGAAGCCCCCGTTGCTTTCAACGCCTCCTCGAGTTGCGTGCGCCTCTTGATCTCCAGGTCCAGTTGCTCCTGCAGGCGTTTCCTTGCTCTTCGCTCCTTCTTCAGCCGTTTTTGGTACATCACTGGAAATCAAATGGGGTTTGTTGTTAGCGTTGTAGCCTCGTTTCAGCGGAGATGGTCGCGTGCGCGTCTCCCCTCGGACGGACACCTGTCAAAACGACTCGGGGACGAAGACGGTGGAGGCGTTCCCCAGGTGGTGGAACCCCCGCGCGGTCAAAGTCGAACGAAATTATCTTGGCGTATCATTGTACCGCGGGGGGTTTCACGGGCAGCCGTGGCAGGGGGCCTCGAACACGCGTCCAAGCGGGGGTCCGTTTCGCTACTGTGCGCGGTTGTCCGCGATCCGCCTGTCCACCAAGATCGACGTCGATCCATCGATCGACCCGCTTATCGACCGATCCATCTACGAATCGGTCGCCCGGTTAAACCGGTTCCCCCTTTCTCTCTCTCTCTCTCTCTCTCTTCGTTGCACCATTTGCAACGATTTTTTATCTTGCGACTGCCCCGCAGCCGGCCCGCATTCGTTGATCACTTTATCTGAACGGGTACAACGAGGTAGGACCGAGGTGGACCGGTTCGACCGTACCGCTTATTATTACGTTTAAACGTCCGTGCCTCGAATTACATTCCTCCTCGATCGCTTTCCTCTATCTCGCGTTTTATTATCCTCCGTGTTGTTGTCGAACGACGGACACGATTCCTAACTGTCTACGGTCTATCGATGCGTCTCGTCCATCGATGCGTTGCGTATGTATAACGCGGAGAAAATCGCGAATCGTCGAACGCATCCCTCGATACGTCGAATGCGTTCGACTCGATTTTCAAACTCGCTCCAATTCGAAGAGATTGGCTCCCGAGACGTGGATGTATCGGACATGGTCGGATACGAGCGTTTTCGCGGACGAGGCCTCTCTCGGGTCGCCGCGTTTGAACCCGCTTTAATTATTTTCCATTATTGCGAACCGCCGCGTCCGGCCATTGTGCCTCGGCCCTCGAAGGATCACCCACCCGCTCCCACAACGCCGCTTTCGTGCCAGATCTCTCGCGATCGGGCATTGTTGTCGACGCCTCGATCGGGCCGCGATTCGCCTCGTTTCGATTCGCCTCGTTCCCTACGATGGACGGTTGGATTTCGCGGAACAAGGCGGAAAACGATAACCGTTCCCTTTCCTTCGGGGCCTGTGTTTAAGGGGGAAGTCGGTAGTTAATGTCCAATTAGTCTCGTCACCGGGTTAACGAGTGCATCGTCATTTTTGACCGCCGATCTAAAGGTAGAAGAGGCGCGTGCGTGCAAAGGATCGCTTCAAGGACAGAGGATGCGCATTCGAAAACGGCGGCGAGAGAAAACGAAAGAACGTCGAAACATCGGAATAAGTAATAGATAAGATAACGGCGGGATTTCGAACCAAGAAGATGTTCTTTCGCGCGATCGACACCGGTTGAGCATCACTGATACCGTGATTGATTCCCGGCAGACAAGGCGCAGACAACCCCTTTGCCCCCTCTACGATCCAGGCATACCTGTCTTCCCTTTGTCTTTCGCCGTCTTTCACTTTCTCGCTCTCGCCTACTTTCGTCCAACTTTCGTATCCTCTCCTCTCTTTTTCTCTTTCTCCATACATACGTACGTACGTACGTATGTGCGCAAGTCTCTTTCGAAACTCTTTGGACGGTCTCTCGCCGAGTCCTCCTCGGACGCCGAGGAGTCCTCTCTGTCGGTTTGTCGAATAGGTGTGCAACGAGGGGAGGTTAAGGAGAAAGCGCGAGGGTGCGGAGAGAAGGAGAAGGAGGAGGAGGAGGAGGAGGAGGAGGAGAAGGAGGCGGAGGAGGGACGCGAAGCAAAGTACGGCGGCGGCGGGTGGGAAGGGGGACAGACTTCTCTCTCTTTCTCTCTCCGGTGGTAGGAGCGGCTTGTGGGGTACGAGGGAGAAGCGGGGGGCGCAGCATTATGATGCAAAGATGGCGCGGCTGCGGCACCCTAGAATTAGCTCGAGCACTCGCCATTGGCCGCTCGGCAAACCACTCCTTCGGTAACAACCGACTGCATACGTTGCATACTAAGGATACACGCGAGCCTGTCGAACAATCGCCGGGGCTGCTCCGCCACCGATTTCGCCACCTACGATCCCGAAAACCTTCTTCCACTTCTCCTCTCCCCTCGAATCCCTCGACGCCTTCCGAGCTTTTCCGAGACGGCTCTCTTTCCTTCGACCGCCTTGCCGTCTCGATTTCATCCAACCATTTCAACCTGTGCATCTTTTCAATCGAATCGTTTACCATAGGATAGGAAGTTGAAACTATTCGACGAGCAACAAGAGATAAAGATGAGAAGCCTTTGTTCAGAGCGTTGAAAGAAAGAGAACCGTTATGTCACGATGGTTATGAAATCTCGATCGATCGATCGATCGATACCGTTCGAGAAAGCGCCTGTCGATCGCTTCGATCGCAGGTAAGGGGATGCGCGGCCGAGATTCCAGATCGAAGGGTATATCGCGATTGCTTCTGAACAGAAAAAGAAGTCTCTCTCTCTCTCTCTCTCTCTCTCTCTCTCTCTCTCTCTCTCTCTCTCTACT